TCGTCCCGCCCCTCGCCCACCCCCCTCCCACCGCCGCGGCCCGGCGCGCCCCGCGCTGCTTTCCGGGCTCCCAGGGACCGCCACTTGGCTCTAGCGGCGCCCGGAGGAGCCGGCATGGGGGCTGCAACGACTGTTCCCCGCCATCCCCAGGACCTCCGCGGCCACCTCTCGCGCCCGGTCCCCGAACTCAGCTCGCTGGGTCGGCCGCAGGCGGGACTCCCTGGTCGTCGGGCGGTATCAAGCCCGTGTCTCCAGCCCCGCACCTGCGCGGAGCCAGTCCGCACCCAGGCCGGGAGCTCCTTCTTCCCTCCTTGGGCTGCGCGCCTCTGCGGCCAGGTGTCCCCGCGCCGGCCCGAGGGCCGCCTAGACTTGGGCTACCGAGTCGCGGGTCCTTCCGTGTCCCCTGGCGAGGGCCCCGGCTCCTCGGCGGCGTCCTCAGCCGCACTCACCTGCCCTTTGGCAACACCCAGTGCTCCTCAATTGATAGCAAGCGGCTCCAGTCATCACGCATCCGAGGACGATCTTCCCTCATGCGCGGACCTGGAGTGCTCTCAAGCTGTAGGCGGTCGATCCTCCGCACCGACCTGCTCAAACTTCGAGTCTTTCTCTTAGAGATGTCCCCAGGCAAGATTTTACACCCAGGCCTCAGAACTGGTGCGCTGGGTCCTCTAAACGAGGCCCCGGAGCCCAAGCGCAGAGGGGCACGATGTTGAGCGGCCTGGAGCAAGCCGTGCTAGTCCATCCAGGATGACCAAAGCCCCTGCATCAACTTCCTCCTGGTGGCCGCTCTGATGCATCCACCGTGGTGTGTCCACCCAAGCCCTGGGCTCACCACGCCTATATAGGCCGCTAGCGACCAGTTCTGCCGTGCCACCCAAGCAGTGGCCCTTTCCATTTTTATGCAGGATCTTAGATGGCTCTCCAGTACCCATTCCCTCCACTGTGGGGGTCCCTCCAGCTGGGACCTAGAGCTAATCTCACTCCACCCATCCCGACTGGCTTCTGAGGACTGGGCTGGTACAACCTTAGGTCTGAGAAAGCTCTCAGCAACTGTCCTTCCAAACTTCATTGAAATCAGGCAGAAGGAACAGTGACTCAGGATGGCAATGGGGACCTCTGGAGGCCCCCAGGATCTGACATGCCAAGCCCCTTCAGAAATGGCCTTTCTCTCCCAACATGTCTCAACAATGCAAATTTTAATGGAAAAAAAATAATAATAATGTAACCAGATGATGCAGCCCTTACAGAGAGGTCCTAAAAACCAATGACCATCCAATGAAAAGATTCCACAAGTAAGGGGTGGGGCTATTTAAATAAATGATCACAGGCTGGAAGGGTGAGTTCAGGTGGATAGATAGCTAGATACATAGATACCCACACATACAGTCATGCACCGTGTGATGTCCATCCAGACAACATCCAGCTGCAGATGCGTCCTTGGTCCCATAAAGTTATAATGTTATTGTTAGGTGCCATGGAGTTGGCTCTGACTCATAGTGACCCTCTGTACAACAGAACGAAACACTGACTAGTCACGCACTAGCCTCCCAATCTTTGCTGTGCTTGAGCCATTGTGGCACACACTGTGTCAGTCCATCTCATTGAGGGCCTTCCCCTTGCTCTTTTACCCTCCACTTTACCAAGCATGATATCCTTTGCTAAGGAATGGTCCCTTCTGGCAACATGACCAAAGTAATAGAGACAAAGTCTGGCCATTCTAACTTCCAAGGAGTATTCCACCTGCACTTCCTCCAGGAC